GCTTTATTCCCTGCTTAGCTAAAGCAGTTGACTGTGACTAGAACAAAGCTCAGACTCATTAGTAATACCAGTGAAAGTAGCAGGAGTATGAAGGTGTCTCTGGTCAAGTACCTAAATCCCAGGCGTTGTCTGATTTCTGTAAAATCTGTACTCCACAGCCACAGCTGTCTCTGGTTTTAAGCCACAAAACTGATCTTTTGAGCTTTCTTTAGCTTTTTCTCCAAATCCTGCAGATGGAAGTTAGCAGCAAACCTGATTTCCGGGTTTTCATAAACTGGGTGTTAATTTTTGAAGTCTCGGGTCGGTCACACCGGCTGATACTAGAAGTTCTCCAGGTCAGTGGTCTCCCAAACAAGAATAAATAAGGTGGCTCTGTCATCAAAACGGTTCTTAAGAGGGAAACCCTCACCAACATAGCTAGTAGGAGGCTGCTTCCGAAATTGGAAGGCATGCTTTACCAGCCAGCGTAGCAGCAAGCTTTACCTGGAGTTATCAAAGCTGGGAGAAGTCAGGTGGGAAGGGGATACAGTTCCTGCAACCCAGCGCCTTGCTTACCTCATCTAATCCTAGTTGTGCGCTGGGCGCAGCGAGAACACGGTGTTTCCTCTCCGCTTGTTTCTCTGAGCTTATTCCAGCCTTGGTTTAGCTGCTTTGCCAGGCTCTGATTTGTCAGCAGCACACGCCTTAACAGCTGCGCAGATACGGCTACGTGACAAATTCGAAGGTGAAGTTTGTTATGGTGGTGGATTCTTCAAACACAGCGCTTCGAGACAATGAGATCCGCAGTGTAAGTGCAGGAAATCAGAGCACAACTTGCCACATCAGTGTTTTTTGCTACTTCCGCTTATTCATAAAGTGCTGAGAAGCAAAAAAACATGAGTAAAATTAAACTACAATCCCTTTTCAGATGTTCCGAAAGCTGCATAATTCATATACGGACATAATGTGTAACCCTTTCTATAACCCCGGGGACCGCATCCATTCCAGGTAAGTCACCTGATCCTTGTCATCTTTCTGGAACTTTCGGTGTACCTGGGATGGAATGGGACCAAAAGCATAACCCCCATGGTTGAGCAGTTCAGATGTGCACGCTCCAGCTGCCTAAACGGAGAGCAGCTCTGTGTCTTTGGCTCGTTAGTGCACAACACAAAGCGCTGACGGTCCCATCAGCGATTACACTGAGCTCTCCCACCTCAGAACCTGTGTTAGAAACATTGGCTCAATCCTCATTTCTTGGGGAGAAAAGCATTACCTGTTTCACAGGTAACTATAAAGAGGAACAGAGCAGGTTAAAGAGTGAACAACTGCACATGCCCAGGGCTTCTTACGTAAGGACAGATGGGCATTCAGCATGGGGAATTCCTGACAGGTGAGGCCCCCTGCCCCCCATTTCTCATCTGGAGTCTCACAGGGGAATGCTAATAATGTTGAGTTTCTATTGCCTAGGGAAGAACAACTTCTTTTACGCTTTGCTGAGGCACATCTAGAGCCAGGATGAGACCTGTCCTTACCTCAGCTTAATTAAAACTCATTATTTACTCAACAGAGCACGCTGTAGTGAAAGAAGAAACCCATGTATTCAGCTTAGGGAAAGGCAGCTCGTTACCCAGTAAGAGGCATTGTTAGCCATTGGTTTTGTTTCAAGATTTGCTGTGCAGAACTACCTGCTTCCTCTTACGTTCCATGTTCCTTTCCTTCTCTAGGGCTTTTGATAATATGGTGAACTCCATGATGATGCAGGTGTGCTGAAACTCTGCCCCTTCTCATCCAAGTGTTGAGGACATTCCCCGGGTACAGGAGCATGCCTGCAGCGTGATGTATATATTTGTCTTCGTTCTGTGTAATATTTGGAATTTATTCTATGTAAAATAAACTTGACACCTGCAAGATCATGCATTTCTACTCTACTAAACCTGAGTCTAGCACTCTGTTTCTTCAGGTAAGGCGTGAGAGCCAGCTCTTCCTTTGGGAAGGTCGGCTGTGTCAGGCAGGTTTGTTCCCTGCAGAAGCACGTGTGGCTATGCCTCTCTGCACCTCAGGTGTTTCTGCAGAAACCAGGCTTTGTGTAAAAACAGCAGTTCCTGCTGTGCTTGTGATGAGAGCAAGCACAGCTGCACAAGAGACAGCTAAGGGATGGTTATTAGGGTCAGCCTAGATTTCAGTTAGCACTTCCTCAGAAGTACTGGTGCTTCAGAGCAGTTCCTCTGAAGCAGGAGCAGCACATCAGCAACAGCAGTCCTCTTGCTCTTTGCCAGCCCCGCTCAGGACTGTTCATCCTGATGGCTACATCACAAGCAATGCTGAGTTCAAACAGACTTGGGCTCCTTGTCCTGTTTTCCCTTAGCTGGGAGCACTCAGATTTGTACTTACTGTGTTAGTTCTTGGAAAGAGGAAACTGCAAGTCAGCTGAAGTCTCCAGGTTCCTCCACAACCCCAGCCACTGTTCATATACTTGAGAAAGCTCTGGCAGAGAGGAAACTGCTCTCAAAGCATCACCTTGAACCTGATCGAGCCCTGCGCTGACCTTGGAAGATCTTTGGGTGACTCTCAGGATTTGCTGTTAGCACTGTGCTTCTCCTTCAGCCAGGCCCACATAAGAGCACTTCTAGCCCAGGTCAGGGAGCACAGGTAGCACAGCTGGGATAAATCCACACCAAGAGATTAAGACGTCAGGGTTGCACAGCTGCCCAGCTCATCCCAAACTAATCTCTATTAGCATCTCCTCCACCCTGCAGCTCCCTGCTGTTCTAATTAAACACTACCAAATCAATAGTAGGTATTTCTGTAGGGGAAAAAAAATTAGACTAGAAAAGCATCCCAGCTTCTTAATAGCTTGCGCAGTACGCTCACACTGCGCCAGGCCGCGCAGCTACAGCCAGTTCAGCAGAGGTAGCACAGGCGTAATAGCTGCCCAGTGCTCATTCAGTGCTTTTCACACACCTCTACAACAAGTCTTCCCTGCTCTGCAGGCAGCAGTCTGTGCCTCAAGCATGGAATAGGTTAAAAATGCATAAAACATAGCTAAAAATACAAAAAGATAACCACACGGCTCCAAAGGAGACACGAAACCTGGAGAGGGCCCGGTCAGCGTAGTCAGCTCACAGCCAACACAGCCTCACTGCGGATAAAGTTCACACAGCAGGATCATTTATTTTAAAAATAAGTGACTTTTACAATGATTTCTCAAACAGAACTTAAATACAGTTAATCAACAACAACCTGTCAGATAACAGGGGGTGAAAGCGTTCAAGC